ACAATTGGAACTAAATGGAGCAACCTACCCAGCTTGATTACTTCACCAGAGCTCAGCCAACCCGCCAGCCCTGGAAGGCAACTTCTGAAGCAAAACGCAGTATTTTGGATCAGAAGCCAAAACCACTGCACCCAAACACAATCCTAGCAAGAAGTTAGATAGTACATACAAAGTGGGACTGGATCAGACCAGTCAGATTAACCCCTTCAGACTCATGAAAGTGGCAAAAAAATCCACACATGGTATGAGACTGGGGTTTAAACTGTGTCCAAAAGGTAACAGTGGCAAAGGGCTCTTTCAGTGTCAGTGATATTCCTTGTGGCTGGGACAACACAAGTTGACCTTTTAGGATCAATATGAATTAGACTACTATTATTATGTGTGCTGCCTTTTGGTTTCTCCCTCATTCATGGATAATTTTGCCCCTGAAGAGGGGGCAAAATAGTGGGAATAGAGGGAAAAAACAAGGTCCAATCTCTTCTCTGATTTCTAACCTGTGTTTGAAAGACTATCCTCCTGACCCTCCCTATTCCCCATGTTGTACTTAGAACTTTTTCAAGTCCAGCACTGAAAAAGTAGACTCTAGTCTTTCCACCTGCTTCTCTCTTGTGCCCCAGCAGCTGTTGTTGATTGCAGCTGGTTCTAATTGTCTTTTTAGTTAGAGCTGGGGAAATAATTAAATCCACCACTAATCTTTTTTGGGGTGGTTGTCTTAAGAGGGAGCTCTGCTATCAGGTCAGCTCTAGGGTATTTAAAATGTGTGTCGGTTCCTTTTTAACTGTCACCTGACAGGATCACAGCACACGCTGGTAGGTTCATTCCAAATGAATTGTTTGAAATGGAGACCAATTAGTAACTAAAGATTAATTTCCAACATAAAATCAAGTCATGCTTACAATTAATCCCGAACTGACAAGCTTTGAGACAGAAGGTCAAAGCTGAGGGGTAAAGGATGTGTCTCCAAGGAAGAGGAATCAAGATCTGTGTCCTCTCAGTGACTTTATACCACAGCCAGGCAATTCACACATCAGACTGAACATGAAGAGGAGATGGGGTCTGGTTTTGTAAAATACAATGAAAATTGTCAGGAAACTGACAGGATCAGAGGAAAGAAAACAAATCACTCTGAAGAGAGCAGCAGTGAGTAGAGAGTTGACTGGGCTGCTGCTCCTTCTCCTCCCTAACCAGCGCTCAGCAGCAATAGCTCAACATTTTGCACTTTCTTCTTCAAGTACTCCATGAGTAGAATACTTTCCCCTCAGTGACTATAATCCTCACAGGATCCAGGAGGTCTTGGCCAGTGGTAGAGCAAACATCATAACTCTTACCTCGGTGGCAGAGCTTCGTGGGTTTTCAGAGCGAGCACCAGCCACCCGCCCAAACGCAGCCGCAGCAGAGTCGGGTGCCAGGACTTGGGTGCTCTTCCCAGCTTTCAGTCTAAGCAAATTCCTCTCCCTACAGCAGTGGAGAAGGCCTGGTTTTGTAAAAGCACGCAGTGATCTGTTCCGTCCTTCACCTGCACGCCGGCAGCGCCGAGGCCTCGGGGCAGGGCCGTTTCCCTC